GGGGGGGGGAGAACATCAAGAAAATCACGGTTATGAGCTCCCACGTTTATAAGATCATCTCTACTATCTCTCATTCATGACTGATGACACAAAAGATTTATAAARAATAATAAAGGGAAAGACCGTTTGCTACGGTCTCCCTTTATGCGATGGTTTTACTCCCTCAGCACATGCAAACAAGCTAAATTCTAATTCAAACACAAGGAGCCCAATAAGATAAAAATGAAAGGTGAAAAAAATTCGGGGAAAATGAATGATTAATTGTTCTTTCTTATTTAAGGTCAAGATAATGTCCTTCGTAATACGAAAGGGTAAAAAAAAAAAGATTTAAAAAAATCAATCATCAAAACATTTTTTCGCGCGCACCTTTGTTTTCCTATATCCTTTCCATATGTCGAAATATGTATATATTTATACATATCAACGACAAATTACAAGGAAGGAAAGTCTAGTTGCCGTCTTGCAAACACAACACACTTTCAACCATGATTTCATCGTCTTTTAAACCTCGAACTCTGATTAATATGAACCCAATAGGTACGAGACTCAGGAAGCCCGTCGTTCAGTGACTTAGCAGATGTCTATATTAAAGTGCTGGACGACAACGACAACCCACCGATATTTAGGCCCCCGTTTTACAGCACGTCAATCAAAGAGAACGTCACAGTTGACACCAAGTTGCTCCAAGTCACGGCTACTGATAGAGATACCGCCGGACATAAGGAATTCAGATTCTCTATAGCAAAGGGTGATCCGCATGAAAAGTTCAGAGTCGATGCCAGGACGGGGGAGTTGTTTGTCCAGAAACCCTTAGACAGAGAGGCAGAGGAAATCCATACATTGGTAATCAGGGCTACTAATATTGGTAAGGGTACAGTGTATTTAGAAGATGATGGTGTGAGGAGGGTATGGACGTGCCGTGCCGTGCCGTGGCGTGCTGTGTCTTAAGGATACAGCAGTTTTCGTGTGACTGTGAAAAGCTCACGGTACGAACATAGTGGCGACACGGCAAGGCATACGCGAGGCAAATCACATTGCTCGAAAATTTACTCTCCATGCAATCAAATACCCGAAACACGGCGCAAACGCGGCGCGGACACGRTCACGGTACTGCAAGATCAATCACATTGCTCGAAAAAAAAATCAGCCAAATAGAATTCTAGAAAACATCGCGGTCACTGTCACGGTCACGGTCACGGCACGGTTACAGCACTGAGGTTTTCACAGTCATGTGAACGTTAATCACACCCCCTCCACCTCTGTTTAACTTACACAGCGCCAATGCGCAGTCCGCGCGGGGTCCTCTGATGGGGCACTCGAAGGAATCATCACGATCACCACCATCATCATCATCATGAATATCACCATCACCACCACTACCACCACCACCGCCACCACCGTCAATATCCTCATCACCATCATCATAGTCGTCATCAATATCATCATCATCATCATCATCACTACCACCATGATCATCATTATTATTTGTAGACGTAATTACTTGAAGAACCATTTTTGTGCCCACAAAAGGTTTGCATTACGACTTGTTCATTTATAGTCTCATTTATATTAACAAACTATTGTTTTTTCCCTCTTTTTAAGTGGAAAGTAAACCGTTGTATGGCGAAGGATCTGTCAGTATCGTTCTCGAGGACGTCAATGACAATGGACCGCACTTTGACGTCGTAACCCTGAACCCCATGATACCAGAAAACCAACCCCCTCCCTATACTATCACTAAAATAACCGCCTCTGACCCTGATTTGAACCCAACGAATGGAGGACCATTTACCTACGGCATTTACAGCGGAAACGAAGAGGGACTTTTTGAAATGACAAAGGATGGAGAGTTAAAATCCAAGGTTACTTTTGACCGCGAAAAAAAGAGCGTCTATGAACTGAAGATCTGGGGAAAAGATAGTGGAAGTCCTCCAATGGTGAATAATACGTCAATATTTATCCGTATTAAGGATCGTAATGACCATCAACACGAGAAGGCTCACTTAGATATATCAGTAAACAGCTATGAAGGTCACTTCCTCGGGGGTCACGTGGGATATGTTTACGTCAAAGACAAAGACACTGATGATTTACGATATTATGAACTCGTCGGGAGAAGTTCGGATATTTTTGAAGTCGATAAGTTGTCGGGTTCTATCGAGAGTAAGCCGAATCCTCCCGAAGGAGTTTTTACGTTGGAAGTCAAAGTTTCTGATCGGGACAGCGTTTTTAAGCCAGTGGTTTGCACAGTGAGCATACGAGTTAGGCGAATAACAGAGGAGGCTATACGCAAGAGCATTGCGATCCGAATGAGAGGGATTGCAAGCAAACAATTCCTCAAAGACTCGTTCTTAGCCTTCAAGCAAGCTATTGCTGGATCCCTCGGTACAACACGAGAAAATATCGATCTCTTCAGCATTCAGAACGTGACCGATATCGTTAGACCGAGGGCCATTGACGTTCGGTTTGCAGCGCATGGCAGTCCTTACTATTCACCCGAAAGAATGATCGCTCTTATTAAATCCAAGCGGATTAACTTAAAATCTTTCAACGTGGTATCAATCGGCGTGGATCCGTGTCAACACGAGCCGTGTAAGTACGCCAGCTGTAGGAGTGAACTACGTGCTTCAGGGAGAATCGAGGTCGTCAGTAACCCTGGACAATCCTTCACGTCAATCATCGTCAAGAATGTTGCCGTGTGTGACACCTGTAGCTCTGGGATGAACATGGTTTCTTCGTGTGTGGAAAACCCTTGTAAGAATGGAGGGACGTGCAGAAATACTTCTATAGGTAAGGAAGGTAGTCTAGAGCTGATCTCGTGTCAGTGACCGTGAACATGACCCTGACCGTGACCCTGACCTTGACAATACGGTGTCGCGACTGTGACAGTTTCGCGACTGTGAAAGTGTCGTGACCGTGACAGTGTCGTGAGCTTGACAATGTCGTGATCGTGACGAGACCGTGACCGTAACCGTGCCGTGAAAAGACCTTGACACTACCATGACCATCTCAGTGTCTATTGTCCATTCAATATGGTGGTTGGTAAAGGCGTTGTCACAGACACAGCCACGGCAACGGTGCGTCACGCCTTTAAGGGTTCAACTCTCTTCTGGTTCAATCGGTTGCAGCGAGTTAAAAAATGATATGAAACAATCATCAATACTTTTTATAGTATTGTGCAAACATCTTTTAGACATCTAACGTCATTCACTATCATTTACTGTCGTTAACCATTACCCATAACTATAACTACATCGACCATTTCAGGTCACGCCTGCACGTGTCGTCAAGGATACGCTGGAGACAACTGCGAATTAACCAGTCGTAGCTTCCGTCCACGTGAATGGATCTGGCTGCCTCCATTACGACAGTGCCGCGTCAGCACGACGAGTCTCGAGTTCGCCACTAAAGATGCTAATGGATTGCTCCTTTACGCAGGACCCACTTCACCCATCGAAGTGGGGCAGGATGACGTGTATGACTTTGTAGCCTTAGAGCTCTATAAAAGCAGAGTGTACGTGTCTGTGTGTCTGGGGAACAGGGATGACGTGTTGAGGATTGGAGTGAAGAGCAGTGTGGCGTTGAATGATGGCAAGTGGCATCATGTCCAGGTTTACAGAAACGAGACGGTAAATTGTTATGTTGATGTAACTTTTAAACTTCATTTATCATTATACAATAGTTGAGATATAACGCGCGCTGATTGGCTGACTACAGTGTTTATATCAGGAGATAGAGTCGCTCGCGAAAAATCGTTTAAAAATATTTTTTGAAAGCGTTGTAGAACGCCTGCTTACGTCTGTGTACTGTGATATAAACACTTTGAGAGCTGTAGAGCACTCGAAAAGAAAGAGAGACACTCGGCTACGCCCCGTGCTCCTCTAATCTTCTCTCTTGCTTTACAGTTCTCAGCGTGCTTATATCACAGGGCAGAGACATGTGCGCGCGTTATTTTTTATTCCTTAATCTTATTGTTAAGTATTATGTTTTCTTTTGCATTGGTTTTAGAACTATACGTTCCTTCCACTAAATCCCTATTTGGGAGTCAAGACAATGGATCTTAGATTTTGTCGATACCCTGAAACAACCTTTGGGGTCTCTGCTTTGGGGTGATCAAAGTCAGGGCACTAGTAACTCACAGATCAAACCCTGAAACGACCTCTGGGCTGATCTAAGTCAGTTCATGGCTATCTCACAGATCGAATCGGAATTTAGCTTTTGGAGTTTTGAGGAAAACCGGAGAACCCGGAGAAGACCCTCGAATCAACTTCCTCGAATCACGGGAGATACCTAACAAAAAGTATTCACTGGTGGTAGATGTGGTTTGGCGACTTCATGATTCCAATACATTCTGGCAACGTCCCTTAATATTAGTGCATATCTCTTCATTTTGCTATTTCGCCCCTCCCCCTGTACCATTGGAAAATCACCTACCATGAGGACGCACCACAATAATAAAAAAGTAGACACTCATTTTCACTATTCGCATTGGTATTTCTTTCTTCCAGTATGTTCGTTTGATGGTCGATCACTGCAGGAAATCAATCATCAATGAAGACTTCAATAAGCATAAACTCACCGAGAACCGGAAGATGTGTGAGACCGAGGGACGACTGAAGACCCAAACCAAAAGGTAAAATTGGTTCTTACCTTACCTCGAATTTAATGAATGTATTGATATGTGTTGGTGAAGATGGTGGTGATAGTGATAGTGGTGGTGATAGTGATAGTGGTGGTGATAGTGGTAGTGGTAGTGGTGGTGATGGCAATAATATGTGTAGGGGGAAATGGTGGTGATGATGTGGTTGTGAAAATAGTGGTGGACGGTGATGGCAATGATATGTGTTGGTGAAGATGGTGGTGATGACGTTAGCGGTGGTGAAGGTGCTGATGAAGTGGTTGTGAAAATAGTGGTGGATGCTGATGGCAATGATATGTGTTGGTGAAGATGGTGGTGATGACGTTAGCGGTGGTGATGGTGCTGATGAAGTGGTTGTGAAAATAGTGGTGGATGCTGATGGCAATGATATGTGTTGGTGAAGATGGCGGTGATGATGTGAGTGGTGGTGATGTTGATGATACTGATATAGTGGTGGTGAAAATGGTGGTCGGCGGTGATGGTAGTGATAAGTGTAGGTGAAAATTCTTGTTGATGGTGCTGATAATGTTGGTAGCTGTAGGGATGAATGGTGATGAAAGTGTTGTAGTAGTGTTGGTTTTGGTAGTGAGGATAGTATTAGTGGCGGCGATTCTGATGTTACTGATCTGTAGTAGTTGTGAAAATGGTTGATGATGATGACAACGATGTGATATCGGTGTAGCGGTTTCGGTAGTGTAAATGATGATGATAGCGGTAGTGGAGATGATGATAATGTTAGTAATGCTATGATGATATTTTTGGGTAAATGTGGTGGTGGCCAAGGTTCTGGTTATATGTACTGTGTAAGAAACGAGCAGGAGTGTTTTATCGCAGACGATCTGCGAGTTTATTGAACGGCTCAAAATATTCATAATGTATGTTCTCATATTGTACCGAATTCTTTACGGAATGAACCAAGTTTGATAGACAAGATATCGAAATATAGATATAGAAATATAGATCGTTTCCCAGCGAGGTCGGAAATTAATTTTTCCGAATTTTATTTCCAAGGGTCTTTCGCCCGGAATAACCTCGTTCCCAAGCACTATAACTTATCTGTATTTCTATGTCTTGTATTTCATAAGTGCTACGCGGTCCACATATATTCTCAAGTTTGATAGAGAAAATCCAAGTTAAAGTTCAAGCAAATGAAGACGAATCTATGTCAGATATAAAACCTCCTTCATGGTCATGAATTCTATTGTGTTTCCTTCATGAATTATTAATGAGTTTTTAATGATTTATTAGCGGATTACTGTATGTTTTATCTTATTTACTGGCGATACTATTTTTCTACAGGTTTCTGAACATCAAAGGTCCCCTTCAACTCGGAGGCATATCAAACCGAGACATGATGTACCCTGACCTACACACCAAGGACTATACCGGCTGCATACGGAACGTAATCAACGAGGGCACACTATACGACCTCAAGAGTCCCTCCAACCAAAAGGGGTCAAAAGAAAGCTGTCCTGCCATGGATTACCATTGTACTTATTCCTCTTGTGACCCCAAGTCTACTTGTGTCGGCTCGTGGTCGGGATACTCGTGCGAGTGTGCGGCAGGACGACGAGGAACCAAGTGTAGCGAGAGTAAGTTAAAAAAAAAATGTTATTGAAGATTTTTAAGATGTTCGAAATGCGCATGCAAAGGTATCGTTACCATAGTACACTATGCTAACGCCTTAGATTCAGCGTAAACAAGTTTGAGTACTTTTGGTTGTTGTTTGGAGTGCTAAGTAAATTCCTAATGAATGCAAAATGTTAATGCGCTGGGCAATTTCATGGTACGTAGCATAGCGCTTGACATTCAACATGTCGCGAGAGTATAGTTTTTCTGGTAGAAGTACTGAAGTAAATTACTTATGAATGCAAAATGCGCATGCGCAGGGCATGGTCATGGTACGTAACATAGCGCGTGACATTCAACGGAACTAAGTGTCGCGAGAGTATAGTCTGCTAGAATCCTGAAGTAGATTTCTTAGTAATACGATATGCGCAAGCGCAAGACATGTTCACGGTACGGAACAAAAGCGCGCGAGATAGATATATATACCAAAATCGAAATTGCTGAACTGAAGTTACCGTCATGACGACCGTTCAACGATACGGCATAGGACAATGCTCCATAGGTTTGCTCAAAGGAAATTTATAACTGGAAAGAAAAGAAAAGAAACGATAAGAAGAGAAATGAGAAAGATATTATACTAGAAGTGAGGATTCATTATTTTACTAGAAATTTGTTGCCTCTGAATTGAACAGTTTATACTATTTTTACCTGCGTTTCGACTCGTGTCACAGGTACAATTTCATGTTAAAAATCATCGTAGCTTTGATATTTATCCATTGTTTTTTTTCGCCAGCTACCGAGCCGTTTTTCTACGAGAAAAACAGCATTACCCAGTACCTTTTTACCAGGCGCTTCAAATACGAACCACGTGAAACCAAGATCCAGCTACGAGTACGAACACGAGATGAAGATGGTGGAGTACTGCTACATAGCGAAGGGACTGAAACTGGTGAACACAGCACACTAGCCGTAAGTAAAACTTTCGACTTCTCTCTGTTTTGTGTAGCTTTAACTTTAAATACCCGTAATAATGAGGAATGATAGTCTGAGGGGGTAAAGGGCGCACCTTCGAGCGCTTTTTACATGTGCCCCTTCCTCGGGAAAATTTGGCAACCATTCCCCGCGTTATCGAAATAAAAAATTAGCTTTACCTTTTTGACCTTTTTACCTTTTTTATGGTGTGTTGCGCTTGGACCTCTGACCTCTGCACCTTTGCAGTTGTTTTCTTATAAAACCAAAACAAAACTTTCCCTGCCTCTCTACGCACAAGTGTTCATAATGGGTACGCTGGCAATATATATACTTTGATGGACTTACGTCCTATCCAAAAACGAGCAAGGACGCACCTAGTTCTCTTTGCAGTAAAGACACTCGAAACTTGAATAGTTCGAAGTTTTTTTTCATAGGTTAACTTTCTACTGTAAAACTCTAAAATGAAGGATTGAGTTCAAATACACCGAGTGATGGAAATAAATCTGATTTCCTATCGATTGGCTCAAGGGATGATTTACAGTATACATATAAAAAAGGAACAAAAACTCAAAGTGTTCACGGTCCCCATTGTCCTCTCTGAAATCAATTTCGCCCTTATCTCAGTCAAATTATTTTATATTTTATTACAGCTTATCCGCGAAAAGGCCTCTTCCTCTAATGAGTCTCGTTTGATCGTGGTTTATTCGTTCAATGTCGGAGATGGCGACGCTATTGTCAAGGCGAATACTATCGATGTGGGTGATGGAAAATGGTGTACGATAACAGTAGATAGGTACAGAAATACCGCCAAGTTGACAGTTTGGAAACAAGGAGTTAATTACCGTTATTCTGGTGAGTATTTCATCTCACCAACTCTAATGTACGTGCATAGTCGTGTGCTGAGCTGTTTCAGCTAGGCGTTTTCAGTAATGTGCCATTTGGAAACTTAGGTAATTTCTTATCGTATTCAACATGGACGTATTTAGGGGGAGGCTATAGGGTGTCTGTTTACCCATTGCTTTTAGCAGTTTATTCGTAACGCCCATGTGTTTTTGGATGTTGAGGGAGAGATATGGAAGCAAGTTTCATCGTGTAACATCTATCCCGCACACCTGAAATGCAGTCACTGTTGCAAATGACCTATCAGAGCACAGCTCTTATATAACCCCGCTTACATATCTGGTTTTATCGCAGACTAAGTTTTCCAAAAGCGTTGCGTTGAAAGTTGCGAAGAGAGTTGCGCGCGTCCGACATCTCTCCTACAATTTGCAATGCTTTGCTTTCGTCACTCGCTGAGCTCATTTTATAGGAGTATAGTCTGTTGTGCGGGAGGTCGTGGTCCAAGCCTCGGCCAGACCAACACTAAGGGTCTTAAAATAAGTGAAGGTGCTACCTTTGTAATTACATCTGCAAATGGTTAGACCTTCACGTGGCTCGGATGACGACTTGAATGGCGGTCCTGTCCCTAATCGACTAGAAGCGTTAAAAGAGGACCACGAGTTTGTCAGTTGAATTACTGTCAAGTGTCATCCTCTATAAACAGAGTTGATTTATTTTATTTATTTATTGCATTGCAAGTTGTAAGAAAAATTTCGTCGTGTAACAGGACCTCAGGGAAAGGCGCGATTACACTGATCAATTTTCTCTTTAACTAGTCTCGCAACAGCGTCGACACAAGTTGCAAGAGTGTTTACACGTTGCAACGGAAACTCAATCGTTGTCAAAAGTAGAAAGGAATTCTACTTTTCGCAGCGATAGCTGCAACTTGTCTCGCAACATTTATAAAAATTGCGCTGTAGGTCGGGATACGAAATACTCCATGCAACTAGTCGCAGCTCAAAGAAAATTGTTCCGTGTAATCGTGCCTTGAGATGAGTTTGATTATACATTTTTCACTCCTTGCATGTCAGGATCAACACGTGGTAGACACACCCTGCTTATCTTGGATCCCATTCGTACATATCTCGGGGGGATCCCCCTGACGCGTCCATCAAATAAAAGACAGCGACGAGACGGTCGTGTACCAGCAGAGCTGAAAAAGAACTTCACAGGGTGTATTGATGATATTCGTTTCCATGATTACCAGCTGCATTACAATGGAACTAAAGACTTTGCCATTGCGTTCGCGACAGGTAAGGGAAAAAATCGATTGAACTACAGTAGTCTAGGATGCCTTTACAGGCTGTCTAGGTCATTTATAATCATACGCATTGCAGTAATTTTATAAAAATGTTGCCACGAGTGAGTAGATCTAAGTAGTTTGTTGCTCTTTTTCTTGACTGGACGGTACGCTTTTCTAGTTTCTTTTCGCCACAAAACCCTCACTGAGTTATCCCTTGAGCAGCACAAAAATAATAGTTTTTAGAGTTAGATAACCTTCAATTTATCGATATTCGGAAACAACCTTTTGGGTGTATCCAAGTCAGGGCAAGAATGACTAATAGAACGAATTGAAGTTAGCTTGTTAGGTTTTACTGAGGGAAGGAAACCGGAGAAAATTTAGAGGAAGATCGATATAAGGAATGGACCATTAGATAACTGAGTGAGAGGGGGGGAGGGGGTGGCAGGAATTTATGTTGCACGATTTTTTTTTTTTTTTTGTAACATCCCCTGCACGTAAATTTTATTCATTTTGCTCGATATTTCTGGGTTTAAAGGAGAGGTTGCGCGATATTTTTTTCGTAGGTGAAGTGCTTGCTCGACATTTTTGGGGGGAATTAGGTTCGTCCCTAATTTTTAATTTTAAAAATAAAAAAAAAAAAAAAAAAAAAAAAAAAAAAAAAAAAAAAAAAAAAAAAAAATCAGTTAAACTCCTTTTGAATGATTCCACAGGAGTAAAGAAGGGCTGTGACTCAGCTGCATGTGCCGCCAATCCTTGTCCACCCACTGAATGGTGCCATGACATATGGCACAAACACATATGCTACCCCAGGTTGTGCGCAAGCAGTCCCTGCCAGAATGGCGGCACGTGCGTCGAGAGTGTAGACAAAAACGGCAAGAACATGTTTTACTGTAGATGTACACCCTCGTATCAGGGAACCCTGTGTGATCTTGGACGCGCTGTAGTATCGGTACGACCAGACATTGGGTACGAGAATGGAATCGTTATTGGTAAGGACAAGTGAATGAGAAAACTTTATTATACCGAATTTTGTACCAGTCAAAAGTTGCACCTTTAAAAAAAATTGGGGTCGAATTTTTGACGGATAGAAAATTGATTGAGACCGTGCAAACAACTTAATTTGTCCGGATAACTACGTACGGCAAGCCTAAAAGAGTATGCTTTGCCCATGATCAGATGTAAAACCACTAGCATTATCATATTGATCCGGTTCCGCGTAAGCAGAGGTCCCGTGTAAACTGTATGTACAGGTCAAATGTTTGACCGGTTATACATTCGTCCGATACCGTGTGAACGCAGCCTTAAACACCGTGCAAACGTTACTGACGTTTCGAAGGTTTAAGTCCTTCGTGGGAGTAAAAGAAGAGGTCACATTCTATTTTCATTTTTCTGATGTAAAATTTTCTGTTTTCCAGGAATTTCGTTGCTAGTGGTGATGTTAATCATTTCATTCTGCATCATCTTCATGTACGTCAGACGCTCCAGAAAATACAGCTACAACGTGACTGTGGAAGAAGTGTTCAAACGTGACAATGTGGCTGACTACCACATCGATGGTGCAGTAGAGGAAGATGTTGATGACCGATTCAAGGATTACATCCGGTCGTTTGAAGATGGCAGCAGCGATTATCTACCTACTGCAAAAAATAAACTCTTAGATTGCGAAGATCCGAATAAAGATCGAGGTTATGGGGGAAGCAGCGACGCAAGCCCGACGTTTATCTTGCTCAGACCGGTGCGCAACATGAGGAAATCGCCTTCCCCGTCTGCGAAGTCTTCTGAAGACGATATCTACGATTGCGGAGACTTCCACTACGGAAGGGCAGTTGCTGTTGATTTGAGTAACAGGAATCTGCCGCCCACACGTCGCTCGGATCCTTCAGAGTTAAAGAAAAAGAGCCCTGAACAGCGAAGATCGGTTCCAAATAAATTAAACATCACTGTGAATCCTTTGCATAAGAACTCCAAACCTGAGAAAGGAAAGGAATGTCGCATGACGTCGCCTGTGAAAGCACTGCGAGAAAGACCAGACGAGACGATCGATGAAGGAGTTGAGAGTGTTTTGTCTTCTTCTGACGAGGGGTTCGCTTCACCGGAAGCATGTTCGCCACCTCAACCATACCAGAAGTATGTTCCTGCTAACGTAGAATGTCCCGTTCAAGTCGAAATTCCAGCTAAAAGTCAGTCAAAATCGCCCAAAAAGGAGGATAATATTGAGCCATGGACAAAGGCGCCAGTGAAGGACAAAAAGGATGTAAGAAAACCGGGTGCTAAAAATGCAGACGTGGGTTCCGATCCTGATGTGGTGTCTTCTCCACCGGAGAAGGTACCAACCCCAGAAGAAATTCTCGATAAACAGCCTACGAATAAACACGGAAGGCCCACACCACAGACCTCTGAGCACCCCAAGGAAAAAGAACCACAAATTATGGAAGATACACCATTGACCTTTGGAAGAGAGCCATCTTCTGACGATGAGGTGGAGTCCGCACCCGACGATTTCCCTCCACCGTATGACCCTGGCCTTTACGACATCCAAGATGACTTCCCGCCTCCACCAAAAGAGGCTCTTTACTCTGAACCAAGTGACAAGGAAATTGAGCTGCCGCATCCAATGGACTTCCTACCCGTCGATACCATAGAACCTTTTGGATATGAAGGAGGTGGATCTCCTTCGGGATCGCTTAGCAGTCTGGGTAGTGACTCTGGTGACGAAATCACGTGGGAAGAGGTGAATGATTTTGGGGAGAGATTCAGGAAGCTTGCAGCGATTTATGGGATGCCTCCGTCGGTGTCATTTAATCTTCATGATGAAATAATCAAATGATCACAAGATATCGAGCATAACATTGGTATTCGAATTGTACCTTGAGTCTTGTCATCGCTCAGTAAGACACTGGCTTTATATTGGTATTCAAGTATCTCGTGACTTAATGAGTAAGGTTTTACGCTAACACGTGGATACTTCATGTGAGCTGACTATAACTGTATTATATATAATGTATTAGTAGTGTGCTAATCTTAATGTGTTGAACTAAGGAGCGCTGATTCGCGCTATTCTAACTAAAGTGTGTGTCGAGTCGCGCAAGATAATCGTCTGCTTAGTGCAGTTTTCGTATGACTGTGAAAAATTCACGGCACGAACACGGCCATGACACGGCAAGGGATACGCCAGACCAATCACATTGCACAATAATTTACTCTCCATCCAATCAAATACCCGGAACACGGCATAAACACGGCGTGGACACGGTTACGCTAAGGTCACGGCAATGCCAGACCAATCACATTGCGCGTGAAAAAATCAGCCAACTAAAATTCTAGAAAACATCACGGTCACGGCACCTCACGCTTACGGCACTGAACTTTTCACAGTCATATGAAAACTGCTCTATAGTAAGGTACTCGTCATTCTGTGTTAAGAGGAGACAAAACGAGCCAAAACATATGCTCTAGGTATCCAATTTATTATTTTTCAAATTGCTATCCTAATTGACATATAAGTATATTGTAATCAACCTAAGATACTTTGTCCAGGAAAGGACTTGTGCTTCCTGGGATTGCTTTATACTTTTCGTCTTCCTCTTCATAAAAATGACTTGTTCCATTTGATTGCGCGCATCGTTGCAACTGTGCCAAATTCTACTGCTGCACAATTGCTTTGAAACTAATCCTACTTCAATAACCTCTTGTATATATGTCTCTGCAAGGAGTATTAAGCTGCTTATCATGAAGATGTGGTAACTTATCGCATAGCATTGTTGCATTGTAAGTTCATGATTGAGTGTTGCTTTCACTGGCATCGTACAAAGAAAATCTGTTGCGTGTGGAATGGCAGTGCAGTAAGTAGGTCTTTACCTTTTGCAACAAAGGCAATTTGTCGCGTTCCAAGATTGCTGTGAACAACATTCGCTCTGCAACTAAAAACAGGATGTTAGACGATAAGCAATGTGGCTTTGTTGCCCCATATTAAGCTATATTACGTACCACACCTTGCACATGCTGACAAAAAGTCTCAATCATAATATTGGGATTTAAAAGCAAATACTTAAAGTTAGGTCTCCACATCACTGAAAAAGGATAGGAATTTTCTTTGATTTTGCTTCTTGAAATTCATCGATCCTATCTTAAGTTTATTGTTTTTCGATACTTAAAAGATCGTAGAATTTCGGTAGATTTTCAAAACAGGTTCAAAAGTCAATTCCTCATTTAAAAAATTTGGCATCAAAGGACCAATCAATTTAATAAGTTATTTTTAAGTCTAGGATCTAACTAAATGTTTGCAGTGAAAAATGGATGGGAAATATGAAGAATAAGTCCAGAGTTATGTTTCTATTGGAAGGAAAAGAAAATTAGATAAGAATAAATTCAAAAATATAGTTATATACTATCCTAATAAATTTAAGGCACACATACGCTAATAACTGATTTTTTCTAACGCTTACTTAACCAAATAAACCACAGGCAGCCCAAGCTCTGTTCTAAAAGGAAATGTATAGAGATTTGTTTTGGTCGTTTTTTATATAGAAATTTAAAAAAATAAAATTTACTAAACTTAATTGAGCACAGGGCATAAAAACCAATAGATAAAGACAAATGACGTCATTTATTAAAAGTTAAGAAAATTAAGAAAATAACTTTTAAAATTGCCTGGAATCTGAGCTTTGGCTGCCTGTAAATAAACTGTGCAAACATCTTGGCATTCTAATAGATACATTAGTATTTTCAGACTACCAGCTACTCATCTAAAAGTGCTAGGGGAGGGGAGGGTAAGTAAGGGCAGGTTCCCATTCTGTACCATGCTCCTCCCTGTAAACTCTAATGAAACCAAATTCCTGCTTCAGTTACCCTTCGTTTTTTGCTGAAATGATAAATGGTGCAAATAGAATAAGCAGCGCTAAAAATAGCGCATACCAATCCTTAGCTAGTCTTATTTTTTGATAGGATTTTTTATAGGTTTAAAATATTTAGTGATATTGTTTATGGAATGAAATTTATGTGTGATAAGAAGTATTGTTGGAAATGAATATAGTGCGTACTTGTTTTCATAGCAACTACGGGACTGGAAAGTTAGAAATATTTAAAATGAGAAAAAGCTAAACTGAGTTGTGTACTTGGTTACAAATAAAATAAAATGTTTTGTTATATTGAGGTGTATATTTTGTGTGTCAAAACCTGGGTGTGGCTGTCCTAAGTGTCTCCTGTGTATCCAAGGTGAAGCCTTGACTGGGAATCTTACAGTGGCAGATCCAGAACGATATAACAATTTCAAGGGGGAGGGGGGGGACAGGGG